GGGGTTCAGTTCCAGCAGTTGTTGGGGTTGTTTCCCAGATGTGGAGAAGTCCAGAGAGGAGATGAGCAGCCTTCTTTCCTTCCTCTGGGAAATTTTCTGGCTTTAGCTCTGCCTCTCCCAGCAAACTTCCATCAAAGGAACTCCCATCACCCTGCTCGTCCCTGCAGCCCCACAGCAGCTCAGCTGGGTGGGCTCCTGTGGGCAGCACCCCTGAGTGCTCCTGATCTGGGTAATTTCAGAAGCTGGAGATCAGCAGAGACCAACTGTGCATCCCCATGGAAAGGAGCCTTGGGCTCCACTGGGATTTGCAGTCAGCACTGGAAGGGTGAAGTTTACACCAGAAATTTCAGGTTGTGTTGGCTCCTGTGGTCTCCTGAGCTGTGAGTGTCTCTGAGGCTGGGCCTGGTGAAGCTCAGGAGTGTCCATCAGGCTTCTAATAGAGCATTCCCAAACCTCTGGCAGGACAGGGAGGGCTGTTCCTGCTCGGTTCCAGAGCAGGGGAACAGAGCTGGGTTTGCCACATTTCAGGACAGCTCTGCTGCTCTTGCACAAGGGCTCACAGGTCCCGGCAATGCCATGAGCCCAGCTTGGACTGGGCTGCTCACTGGATGCAGTGTGTAGAGCTCTGCTGGAGACAATCTCTGGCTGTGCCAGCTCCAGTTGCTTCCCAGGGTTTGCACATGGATGGAAAGGGTTGAAAACATGGATTCCAGGCAGGATGGAGCAGGAAGAGGGGAGGCATTCCCAGGGACACTGCACCCACAGCTGCTCCTGAGGAAGCCAGTGCTGTGCCAGCAGCCAGGGGCCTGGGCTGGGGCAGTGCAGCTCTCAGAGCCACTTCTGAGCTGCTAAACTCTGCTCAATCCAGCCAGGAAACTGCCCTTGTCCCCACCAGGTGAGCACACCTGGGGCTTGAGCTAGGGGTGGTGGCCCTGTGTCACACTGACCTGTGCTACAGAGGAAAAGAGGTATTCACCCCAAAAAACAGGGTTTGGGGTTGGTTTTTTTTTTTGTTTTGTTTTTTTGTTTGTTTGTTTTGTTTTTGGTGTTTTTGTTTTGAGTTGTTTGTTTGGGTTTTTGTTTTGTTTTTGTTTTGTTTTGTTTTTTTTAAAGGCACAGGCCGTAATGTGTCCTGAAGCGCTGCAGGGAAGGAAAAGAGGGAAAAGCAAGCAGCAAGGGCAGTTGAGCCTTTTGCAAGGACAAGGCTGGCCAGGAAGGGTCACTTACAGTCAGACTGCTTCCAGTGGTGTGTTATTTATTCACTGAGACTGTGCCTACACTTGAAAAGCACTTGGGAGCAAAAGAAGTTCCAGCCACTTAATTTAATGGCAATAATAACCACAGAAAATGTAAAGGCTTTACAAGAGATCAGCAATATTCTGCCACATTCGTATTTACAGAAACAGAGGCACAAAACGTGGCAAAAATTGCTCAAACCCACCTTAGCTGTCCTTTGGAATAAAAAAATTGATACCCAGTGGCTTCCTCTTATCTCTTTTTTTCAAAATATGGGAAAATATCCCAGCCCTTACGTGGGATTCCTTGGCAAAATCAAAGGCAAAGCCTGAGGCAGAGTCCTGCCTTTTGAAGTTGGAAGAAAAATGTAGAGGGGAAAAAAATAATTTAAAGAGCTGCAATGGTCACCAATAATCTATTTATTCTTTCATGAATTCTACTAAAAGGAATAAATAGCCTCTGAGCATTTAAAGAACATCCTATCCTATCCTATCCTATCCTATCCTATCCTAATCTTAATCCTATCTCATTTTAGCTCTTGCCCAGCAGAGATAACTAAGTAGCCAAATATTTTAGGTCACCTTTCACTGCAGATCCATGGACTCTTGCTTTGTGCTCTCCAGACAAGTATTTGTTTTTAGCCTTATCTGGACTTTCCCTGCAATTCCAATTGCTCAGGACTGTGGTTACACTTCAGTGACACTTTTATGATTATGATTATGGTTATGGATTAGGGAGATTAGGATTATCTTTCACTGTAAATAGCATATAAAATATAGTAAAAGAGAGAGAGAGAGGGTACTTCTATGTGTGTGGAGACAATGGGCTGGACCTGTTGTCCGCATTGGATGTGTCCTGTCCTGGTGAAGCTGCAAACGTGGCTTTGCTGGGATGGTCCTTCCTGGAGGAACCCAACTCAGCCATGGAAGGACCAAGCAGCCCTTGACCCCTTATAGGGCTTGGGGAAGAGAAAGGCAGTTTCCCTCCCTTGGGAGGAAAGAAGTTGTTTCCAAGAATAGTCAATGTCTGGAGGCTCTGAGCTGTGCTGAATAAAATCCCTCTCTGTGGCCAAAGCTTGTTCCCTCATGCTCTGCCCAGGTCCAGGCAGGAGGTGTGCACAGAAGGGGTTAAATTGCCCAAGATCTGCTCCTCACCTTTGAACTGAGGTCCAGCCAGAGGTTTTCCTGGCACAGATGTGTTCTCTGGAGGGCAGGGAAACAGCAGCCAGGCACAGAGGAGCAGCAATTCTGGCAAAACCCAGCCCTGACATCAGCAGCTCTGCAGCTCCACCAGAATTGTTTAATTTTGTCCAGCAGTGTGTGAGTTCTGGGCAGGGGAATGGGCCAAGGTCAGTGCTGCTGTAAGGGGCCATGGTTACCCTGCTGGCACCTGCAGGGACACGTGCCTGTGGGATGTGTGTGCCCCAAGTGCTCCCACACTCACAAGTCCCCTCAGTGTGGCACTAGGGTGTCCTGCCATGGGCACAGGCAATGATGGGTGAGGGACAAAAGCTGCTGCAGGAGGGCCTGGCTGTGGGCACACAGGACAGGGAAAGGGCAAAGACTCACCTCTTACACATGGGCAGGAGGACGACTCTGCTCACTCCTGCCTGTCCCACTCGTGTCATCATGGTGACAACTGCTCACCCTCTCCAGGGAGAGTCACAGGGCTCCACAGGCAGAGCCCTTTGCAGCTGCCCCAGGTGTCTGATGTTGAATTTCTGACAGGACCTGCCCGTGGGGTTCACCCACGGGCCATGTGTCCCTGTGCTTCCAGGGAATGTTTGCTCCTGTGCTAGGGAGCTGCTGGTGTCAGGGCACTCACCCTGGGTACAGGCAGGGTGAAAATGGGTTTCAGCTCCTCAGAAGCCTCTAAACCCCAAATCCTCTCCCAACATGAATTTACCATGCTTTGGGTAAATTTCTTCTGTGTTACAGGAGCCAAACCTCTCAGCTCTCCTCCATTCCCTCTGTCTGCCAGTCCCAAAGTGCTTTGTCACTGGGGTGATGACAGAGCCCCCAGTAATCACCAGACTGGGTGGGTGCTGCCCAGACAAGGCTCAGGAGCTGTCCCCATGTCCCAGAGCTGTCTGTCTGTCAGTCAGCCAGTGCTGCACCCAAAGATTTGTCTGGGCTCTCACTCCTGTGCCCTTCACCTTTGCAGACAGGAACATCTGTGTGCTCTGCTTCCCGAGGACACCCGGAGCCAGCAGCTGAATTCCTGCCCCAGCTGCAAGGAGAGGAGATTATCTTGGCTGGCTTATGATTGTGGCCTGGATGGAGCCCTCCCACACTGCCCTGGGCAAGACAAAAGGTAATGCTGCTGGGTGGCACGGGGCCACTGAGCCCTGGGCATGGTGACAGCATGGAGAAGCTTCCCCCTGGTCTCCCACAAGTGCTGGGCTCCAGAGCCTTCCTGGTGGGCTCCAGATGGGCTCAGCCTGCCCAGCAAGGGCTGCAGGGAGCCTGGCATCCATGGGACACACACAGAGGTGGCACCTTTGCCCACCTGGCCCTGAGTGACACCCAGCCTGGAGGGTCAGTGATCATCACAGAGGGGGTAGGATGGACAAAACTGACCCAACATCACTTTGTCCATCACTAGCTGTCATCAGATTAGGTGTTTTATGCATTTTAGCTGTTAAATTTTTCCCTACAGGATCCTCCTGCTGTGTTCTTCTTTAGATAAAAAGTGGGTTTTTAATTAAAGATGTCTTTTTCCATGGAAATTAAAATCAAGTAGGTTTTGTTGATAACACCGAGATTTTCGTTAAAGAAACAAAAGCAGAAGGCACTGACTGGAAAATGTAAGTTTAAGAAAATGTAACTAGTAAAATAATTCTGAAATTTGACCATTTCAATGCAAGTGGAGGCAAAGACGGAGAAAAGAAGAACAAAGGATCTTCTTAAAGGATGTCAATGCTGATAGTTTGAGAATATTGGCTGAGCAAAAAGCTTTTGACCTGAAAAAAGGTAATATTTCAAGCAAAATGCTGTTCCCCCTCCCTCTTTACACATGGTATGAAGCACATCAAATGTTCCTGATGATCTCCCCCTGGTAGCTGTAATCTGGGGACATATCCCATGGTGGCCAGACCTTCTGCTTCCCACAGGGAATGCTGCCACAGCCTGGCTTTTACCTCCTTGCACCCAGCACTGACATTGCTCCAGGAGCTGCTTTCCTGCTGCTGCAGCTGCACACAGGGAAATTTTAATAGGAAACTACAATGGAAGAAAAAGCGACTGATTTATATTTATTAAAGAAAGAGAAGACACCAGCCCTTCTCCCAGGTCCCCTTTTGCTCAGAGCTCAGTCTCTGGTCTCTCAAATCACCAGGCTCCCCATGTTTGATGTTTGCAGTTAGCAGGGCTGCAAAGCACCAGCCTGGCTGCCCTGGCTGCAGCCCTCCAGGGTCCCCAGGCCACTGTAAAAAGCAGTTTCTTCAGGGTTTGACCTGAACCAAATGTTAGTTTTGACCTTTCTCCAAATGACTGGACAGAGGACAAATTTCCAGCTGACTTGTAAAAAATCATTCAGAACACCTGAGCTGCCTGCCAGGCTGCAATTTGCTTCCACACACCACCTGCACCTCTTCCTCCCCACCTATAGTTATCCCTCCCACCTAATTTCTCACTCCTTGGGTACAGCTAGCAGGTGTTTCTCCATCTCTTGCAGCTGGTCAGCTTTTCCTGCTCTATTTAAAGTGCTGCAGTGAGGTACCAGCAGTGGTCTGATTGTTCTGGAGAGTTGGTGGTTGTGGTTAAATGAGCTGCTGCAGGAAACAAAGCTCTTCCCCGTTGGGTTTTAGGAAGGAGCTTTGGGCTCCTGTCCTGGCAGGGTGGGCTGGTGCAGGCATGGGGAGTGTGGGCAATGAGAGGTCTCTGTGCTCAGTGCTCATGGACTGCTTCCCATGCTTCAGGACTCAGCCTCTGGGAGAGGAGCTCCCAGGTATGTTTGATGACTTGTTTTCACAGAATTCTTTTTGTGTGAAGTGCTTCAAGCTTTAGCCACCTGCTGTTTTCTTTGAGTTCTGCATGTAGTTTTTCCCTAAAATTTCAAGGATTGGTTGTCTCCAGCTTGCCCTGAGCCAGGGCTGCTTGGCTGGGTTCCTGCTCTGTTTTGCAGTGTCCCTGGGGTGTAGGGAACAGGATCTGCAGGAGAAAATTGGACAAGCCAGTAGGTCTCTAGAGGCTGGCTAAGAAAGCTCCCTGAAATGCAGAAGTTCTTTAAAGTCTTTCCTAACCTCTTCCTGGACTTGCTGTAGTGTCTCAATGGGGATGAAAGTGGAGTTCAGAACTAGCTTGCAGCTATCTCTTAGATCTGTAGCAGGGGAAAACTTGAGCCCTTTTTTTTTTTTTTTTTCCCCTAGTAAAGGCACGTGTTTGCAGGAATCTCCCACCTCCCTCCCTGCTCCTCTCTGAGCTGAAACTGGGGCATCTCCCCCTTTAGCTGAGAGCAGCCCCTGTGCTGGGTGAAACCTGTGGGTGCCTGTCCCTCACCCCTACCCCTCCAAACTCTGAGTTTCCTGCCCAGCATCACCTGCTGTCCCTTCCAGGCCTCTCCAGGCTGGCAGCCAGCCCTTCCCAGAGCAGGAGGGGATGAGGGACTGCCTCGGAGGGGTTTGCAATGTAGGTTAGGCAGGGGAGGCTGCCGAGAGCGGTGACATCGGGGAGGAGGCGGGAGCAGCCCGCGGATGACGAGGCTGTGAGGTTGTGTCTCCGTGCAAGGTACGCCTTGCATTAGTAATGTGTTTGTAGCAAATAACGCTGGGCTGGCATGGGAATGTGGGTCACCACTGCCAGAACTGTGCGAGGAACAGGGAGCTGCTCGTGCTCTGCTGGGAAGCAAACGTATGTTACTGAGGGATGTGTGCTGGGGGGGGATTGAGTGCAGAAACTGCTCCAACTTGGAAGTAGCAGCTCTCTGTTGTGTGAGTGAGTGCTTGCTCCCTGCCTGGGGAGTGCCTGTGGCTGGGAGTTGGGGTGGAATGGTGTTTGAGGAGGGGGGAGTGGGGTGCAGGGGTCTGTGTTCCTGCTGTGTAATAGCGCTGTGATATTGGGGAACTCCTAGACTTGCTTGCCAATGCTCTCTGTGGCCCTGGAGCATCCATGCTGCACCAGCAGGCACGAGGAGGGATGCAGCCGGGCATGGATAACCAAGGATTCCAGCATATCTCCATGACCTATTTCTGCTTCTGTTGTTCAGTGTGTGCGCTCAGGAAATCTTTCTGCTTTAGGGGAGTAGGGTTTGTTAGTGATAAGGAAAAGCCTGCTTGACTGCTTGTGAGATTTAAACCACAAACTAACCTGGTTTTGAAGGTGGGCTTGGGCTGGGGAAGGTGGCTCTGAACCTGTATAGAAAGTGATGTGGGGTGGGGATATACACATCCTATAAATGGGTATGGTACTTCAGTGCCAGACTTTAACCTCAGAGCAAGTCCCTTTAATGAAAAAGCTGTGCTGGAAAAGGCTGCCCTTGGTCAACAGGGACTTGTTCAGTGGCTTCACTTCCAGCAAAGAGGCACTGGAGCAGAACAGGGCTGGTGGAGGGAGGCATGAATGGGCTGCCAGGCTGGAAGGGGCTCCTGTGTAGCTGCAGGTTGCTAAAACAGGCTTGTCCAAGCCCCTTGGAGCGAGTCAGGAACTTGTCCTGCATCCTGTAAATACCTCCAGGGCACATAGATGTGTTTCCATGGTTGCCCATGTGCTCTCCAAGATGCCCAAGCTGTGATATGTCCATCTGAGCCTCAGTCATTATTTCTCCTGAGTCTAGGATCAGAACAGAGGCTGCAAGGTGGCCCTGAGGCCAAACCTGAGCTTGTGAGGCTTCAGATTCAGAGGAAATGTGCTGTACCATCTGATGGAGCTGCAGGCAGCAAGCAGGAGTGAGGTGCTAGGTTGGGTTGCTCTGGCAAGAGACTCCTGAGCAGGGGTGGGAACCTTCGCTCCTCGCCCCACTGCTGCCATGTGCAGCTTGGGGCTTGCCCACACACACCCCTCTGTGCCCTGTGCCAACCTCCTCCCAGGCCTGGATCCTCCAGGGAGTGCTGTCTGCTCAGAGACTGCAGCAGTGGTGTCCCTCTGCTGTGAATCTGCCTGTGACCATGTTCACAGGGGTTCTTGGGTGAGGGAAGAGACAAGGATCTGAATCCGTGTTTCAGAAGGCTGATTTATTATTTTATGATATATGTCATATTAAAACTATACTAAAATAATAGAAGAAAGGATTTCATCAGAAGGCTAGCTAAGAATAGAATAGGAAAGAATGATAACAAAGGCTCTGTGTTGGACTCTGTCTGAGCCAGCTGACTGTGATTGGCCATTAATTAGAAACATCCAACATGGACCAATCACAGATGCACCTGTTGCATTCCACAGCAGCAGATAACCATTGTTTACATTTTGTTTCTGAGGCCTCTCAGCTTCTCAGGAGGAAAAATCCTAAGGAAAGGATTTTTCATAAAAGATGTCTGTGACATCTGCCCAGCCTGTGCAGCAGCCCGTGAGGCAGACACTGCCCTGAGGCAGGTGCTGGGTGACCTTCAGCAGCCCTGGGAGAGCCAGGCTGGCAGGGAAAGGACTGTGCCCAGTGGGAGGAGATGGGGCTTGATCTGTCTGGGTGCTGCCTGCATGCTGTCCCTGCTGGTGGCTGCCAGCTGGGACAGGATCTTGGACTTGCTGCAGGGCAAACTATGGACAAGGTCAGGGGCTCACAGACCTGTCTGATGTTGTAAGTTCTCCCTCTGCGTGGTTTGTTGGCTCTGCTTTAAATTCCCTTTGCCTTTCTTACCCATTCAGAAACTCTAAACCCACAGCTTAGTTTTTTGGCTGCTCATCAGAGCTGCCCCCAAATCCCAGATCTGCTGGTGGGGCCAGCTCAGGGGCTCTCAGGAGTTCCAGAACCCCCTGCCTGGCAGATCCAAAATCCATGCAGGAAGGGCTCTGTTATGGGCTTGTTTGCCTCAAAACTAATTGTCCTACAAAATTCTTGCCCAGGGAGATGGGTTCTGGCAGTTGGTGCTGCCCATTCCTTGGTCTGTAGAAGAGCTATTCCAGGATGGCAGCTTGCTTGTGTCTACAAAGCCCCTTCTTTTTAGATGGGAAAGGAAAGACACATTTCTGTGAATGTTTTGATTCTTGCTTTCCCTTCAGTGGCAGAACTGAGGAGTAAAACTGAGTCCTGAAATACTTTTGCTATCTGCCCCCAAGAAAAACAAGGAACTCCTCTGTACAGGCTGCACTCCTTGGGCTTCCCTCTGGCTCAGCCTGTGCAGCAGGCTCAGGGCTTCCTCTCTGTGAAGGGAGAGGTGATGATGATGATGAGAGGTGGCAACTGCCTGCACAGCTGAGCAGCAGGGATGCTCCATGGTGGGAATCCCAGCTTCTGGCACTGGCTGTGTCCTTGGGCAAGCCACTGCTGTGATGTGTGTGTGCTGGCTTACCTCCTGCAGGGCCTGAAAGGTTTCATTCACGTCCCTAATTACTCACAGAGCCCTGAATGGAAGGGACAGTGGATGTGCCAAGCGTGTGACGTATCCCGGTACAACCTCATCCTTGTAAGCACTCTCCTTGTCCCCCCTGGGGACACAGGGGTGGCTCTGAAAGGCTTGACAGTGGTGCTTCAGCCTGATCCCCTCGGCCACCAGAGAGGCTGTCTGTTTTGTGGCACTCATGCCTGTCCTGTGAGCTATTGAGGGCTCCTGGTGAGGCTGGGAGGGAAGATGTCCTGGTTCCTATAATTTCCTGGTTATTTTGGTATGTGAGGAAGGGGGAGGAGGGCGGCTGTGGAGAGAAGAGCAAGGTCAGTGAAGAACAAATGTGCCTCTGTGCACTTGTGATCACGCTGCCAGCTAATCGGCTTCGGGGCTCCAACTTTGCTCACAGAACTCATCAGGCACGGCCGGGAGAGGATAGAACAAACCATCAAGGCCTCTGGCTCCAGGCTCTGCTCATAGTGAGTATGAACCCCTCCCAGTGGGATGGGAGCCCTTTAACAGCTCAGCTGATAACCCCTGTGCTGGCTGGCTGGTGGATGGAGCTGGCTGGCACCGGGCAGATGTGGGCAGTCCCTGGCACAGCTGCCAGCATCCGCTGCTGCCTGGCAGCTCCTGCCATGCCCAGCCTGGCTGTGCAGGAGGGGATTCTTTGGGATGGCTGGGGGTCTGTGCCTGGTGGTGTGTGGGGGCAGAGAGTGGGAGCACCCACAGGTGAGATGTGGGGTCTCTGGGCTCCCTTTTTGGGAGGGGTGGGACAGAGGGTGGCTGTGGGGATGAGAACCTTCAGAGCAGATATACTGTGGTGGGGCTGGGGGGGGGGGGTCTAAGCTCTCTGGGGCAGGGGAGAAGGGAGCAGAGCTGTTTATTCATGTTATCTTAATTCTGGCTTTTGCAAAGAGCATACAGGAACCCTTAAAATCAAAGGGAGGAATCCCTGAGGCAAGGCTCACCCATCCCCAGTGATGTTCAGGCAGGATGGATCTGAACCAATGAGTGTTCAAGTCTGGCTTCTCCAGCCCCAGCAAAAGCTGCACCAGGCAGACAAGAGCTCTTTAATGCCTCTGCTCACCAAGCCTGCCCTGGCAGCTCCTCTTCCCTGCAATGTCAACATCCCTGACTTGGCCTGGGGAGGGGCCTCTGGGGCTGCCAGCCCCATGGACCGTGGTGCCTGGACCTAACTGGACTCTCCTGGCTGCCCTGTGGGGACACTCACTGGGCTGCAGCATCCCTGTGCAGTGAGGAGGGGGCTGCATCTCTGCCTGGAGAGCTGTGACTTCTCCTGGCCTGGTGCTGCTGGGGCTGTTCTGGCCCTCATGTGCTTGTGCAGTTTCTGTTATTGGGAGTTGGGGACCAATATTAGATAAGCTTGTTCACCCAGGAACCCTGCTTCCCTAATCTCCTGTCAGCACACACCATTCCCTGCCTCCCCCAGAGTGTGGGTATCCCACCCTTTGTGGGTAGCAGTGCTGGGGAGCTCAGCTGAGCCCTCTGTGATAGAAGGGGTGCACACACTGGGGTTTGCACTACTCCCCTGCAAGTTAACTGTGTGAAGCTGTTTCTCTCTTGGATTTTGGACTCAACATTGATTTCCTCTTCTTTTCCCAAGTGCTGAGCGAGTTGTTTTTTTAATGGATCGCTCCCGGAGCCCAGACAAAAGCAGCCAGGTGAGATCATGGCTCTGAACAAGCAAATCCTCACCTTTGGGACAAAGGGGGCTGGTGCCTTTAGATGAAGAACAAGAAGAAGAGTCTGTGTTAGCCTGCTGGGAGTCTTGCTGCTGCCCTGTCCTGTGGGTGATGCTGGGTGGGGAAAAACAGCAGGGAAGCCCTTTGGGACAAGGCATGGTGTTCCCAGAGTCTGGGGACAGTAAGGTTCCTAGGGAGCAGGAGGAAGAGCAGGTGTGCGTGTGTGTATGCATCCCCTTGTCTTTGGGAAGAGAGGCTGCAGCTCTGTGGTGCTGGATCTGCATAAAGACATCTAAAGAGACCTTAAATGTTTGCTGAAGTATCGACTGGGGGTTTATTACTGGCTCTGTGTGAGGGTTGCTGTGTTGAGGAAGGGAAAACCCAACTTGCAGCACAGTCCTTGTGACTAAAATTCTTGTTATCTTCTCTAGCCTTCAATGCCAACTGACAACATCAACCTCGGACCTTCTGCTAACCCCAAGTAAGCTCCCTGCAAAGCCAGGTAGGGTGTGGAGTGTGGAGAGATTTGGTAGGGGGATACAGATGATCCCTGTGTGTCCCAGGGTGGTGTCTGCAGAGTCTGGACAGTTACATTTTACATTTCTCAGCCTTTAACACCACATGTGCCACCAATGCACCAGCTTCCAAGACTGAGCTGTAGCTGGTACTTATCATAATCATCCTCTCCTGGCCACGTCTGCAGCCCCTTGTCCCTTTTCTTTTGAGAGGTAGTAAGGGAAGCTCTTCCTTGTCACTGCTGGCTTCCTGATTATCTTTCTCTAGAAACAGGCACAAACTGTATCCCCTGTAAGGGCATCCCTTAGTCCTTGCAGGTGCTGTCCCTGCTGCTGCCTGGCTGCTGAGGGGTTGCTGGTGCTCTGCAGGGTGCCCTGACACACACAGTGTGAATCCTGAGCTGCCTCGGAGCGAGGGTCACCCACCAACGCCCTTTAATCCCTTCCACAAACACTCTTTTTCCTAAGCAGGATCTCTGCTTGGAAGCTGGTGTTACTGTTGCATGTTTCTCTCCCAGAAACATTAACTTGTTTCATTCTTGCCCAACAGTGCCAAGCCGACAGACTTTGACTTCCTGAAGGTTATTGGCAAAGGAAGCTTTGGAAAAGTAAGTGGGCTTGTGCAGGTGGGCTGTAGCTGTTTGGAGGCAGCTTGGCAGGAAAATGTGTTGCTGAAGGAATTTCTGGCTGTGTCCTTTGCTTGCACCTCTCCTGAGGTGTTTGGCCTGAGTGGGACTGAGATTAAATAAAACCTGAGACACTGATACATTCTACTTTAAGGCCCTTCAACCTCTCTAAGGACTGAAGAGTGAGGTGTTTCATGCTCAGGGTGGTGATGGTAAAGAGCAGTGCTTGATTCAAAATAAGTTGCAAACTTGTTCAGCAAAAGATCTCCAGAGAAACCATGGAGACAGGCAGGATTCTTTAAATGGGACTGCCCATAAATGCTCCAAAACTATTTTCTATTGGGTGTCTAGGGGATATATGTGGAGATATCGAGTGCTTTTCTTCTGGCAATGAAAAAGTGCTGGGAATTGAGAGGGCTGGAGCTTGGTCTTTTAAAACACTGTAGCTGGCCCTCTAAACTAGTTTTCTGTATATAATCACTCGCAAGAGTGTTGAGCTAATGAGGACACACTGACCAAGGTGAGACAGCTGTGACCAGGACCTTCTGTTGCAGGTTCTCCTGGCCAAACGCAAGTGTGACGGGACCTTTTATGCAGTCAAAGTCTTACATAAGAAAACCATTCTCAAGAAAAAGGAGGTATGTCTGCTCTCCTGGGCTGTTCTGGAAATCGTGGTTGGTGTATGGGCTCTCTGGGTAATGCAATTGAAGTACCTGGCATTCAGGTAGGCAGTTCACAACTTAAAAATCCATTAACGTGGATCTGGCTGTGCCATGAGAACAAAAGAACAGAGATAAATTAAGTCAGATAGGAGGGAGTGGTTCTCTTTTTGGGGCTGAAAATGACCCTCGTGGGCTCCCAGCCTCCACCTGCTTTGAAAGCATCAGTGAGCCCTTAGGACAGGCTGGGCTGGATCCTTGCCTGAATCCTTAACGCCTTGTCTGCTTCTTGATAGCAAAACCACATCATGGCAGAACGCAACGTGCTCCTGAAAAATGTCAAGCACCCCTTCCTTGTGGGACTCCACTATTCCTTCCAGACCTCAGAGAAGCTTTACTTTGTGCTTGACTATGTAAATGGAGGAGAGGTGAGTGCGCTCACAGGCTTTGTTTTAATCCTTTCTGGTCCTTCACAAACATGCTGCTTTATTTAAAACAATTTCTTGTCAGAGGACAATGATGCTGAGGGATGATGTTTTGACTGCTGGCAAGGAGCAGCCAGGAATACCTGGCAGGATACTCCACCTGTAAATTCAGTCAAGATCTTGCTGGCTATGACTTGAGTCAGATGATTCCAAAAGTAAAGATTCTGAGAAAAGTGGAATTGGGGCACTGTAAAATTCTATGGAGAATATGGGAAATACTGGCATTGGTGAGGTTCAGGGAAACCCCTTTGTGGGCCAGCTCTGGATCCATGCCTAGTGCTTAGGAGTGATGCCATTACAACTTTCTAGACTTTTTCTGTCCTGTAGAAGCTTACTTTTCTCAGCTGTCTTTCTATGCTATCTGAAAGTGGCTGGGATATATTGTTAAGGTGGATATCTTGCTAAAATCAAGCTCATGTTGGGGATCTTGGCATGTTCAGCTCTCTGCACGTATCACTTCTCATGGCTGTACTACCACTGTAATCAGCCTGTGGGTTGTAGTAAGCTAGGAGCTTAACCAGGTCAGGAGATGATGAATGGCTTGAGTATTAATAATTAACTTTTGTGAATGATGAGGAGGAGAAATGAAACAATTTCTATAAAGGTGTTTGTATTGCTTAAATTCACTTGGCTTGGGTTTATTTAATCCTGTTAGTGTGCTACCTGCTACAAATCACTTTTCACTCATGTAGCTGGCTTTCAGCCTTGTTCCAGATTAGCCTTCATTTATTTAGAGACATGATCAACCCTCTCACCTTCCCATAGCTCTTCTTCCACTTGCAAAGGGAGCGCTGTTTCCGTGAGCCCCGGGCCCGGTTCTACGCTGCAGAAGTGGCCAGTGCCATTGGGTACCTGCATTCCCTAAACATCATCTACAGGTAAGGCAGGGGCTCCAAGCCTGCCCTGGCAGGGAAAGGGATTCACTGGGGAGGTGAAATGCAGGAGTGGAGTAGCTGAAGAATATCCTAGCCCAGACAAGACTGTGCTGCTGACACTTTCCCCTGCAAGACCTGATGGGCAGTAAACCATTCTTTCCCCTTCCCAGTATCACTCTGAGGGTATTAAGTTTAAAGACCTAAAATAAACATGGCTCAATAAGTAAGAAATCATCCCTCAGTAACAATTTATGCATGGAAATGCAAGCTAACACCTGATCCTGTGTGAAAGCAGAAACATAAGTTTTTTGTTTCCATGTATGTATACTGATGGGAGTCTGCAGTTGGGAAGGTCTTGCTGATCTGGATTGGGAGGCTTTGTTAGCTCCTGTTCATAGCTGATGCTGTTTCAGATCCATGTTTTTTAAATATCTGGTCAAATCTGCTCAAACAGCACTTTGTCTTGCAGGGACTTAAAGCCTGAGAACATCCTCCTGGATTGCCAGGTATACTCACAGCTTGGGCTGTCTTCTGGCTTTAAAAACATCAGGACCACAAGCAGAGGGCTGTGGCTCTGCAAGCTGGACTATAGTTGATGGCATGGCATGGATTTTGTCTGTCTGCCCCACTGCACTTCTGTGCAGATCCTGGGGGAGTGAGAGGGCTTGCCCTCTGAAGAATTCCATGGTTTTGGGGCTCATTCCCAGAAACTGGGACCTGACCTGTGGAGGAGATCAGGGTGGTGAAGAGCAGGTCACTGCTGCAACCCTGGTGGTGACTGTTACCTAAATTGTCTCTGGGATAAAGCAGCAGAAAATCACAGCAGTGCTGGAGCTCCTCATGGCTATCTAGCTGTAGACAAGTAAAAAATAAGAAATTGAGACTGTATTTTTCTACAGGCTCCAGTACCTGTACTATAGGATGAATATAAAGGGAGGGAGGGGAGGCAGATGAGCAGTGGGGAACCAAAACTCATACGAGATGTAATGCATAGGCGAATACTTGGAAATTCTGTCCCCTCTACATAAAGATTAGGACAAGATAAAATTTCTCTTTTCTTTAGGGACACATAGTATTGACAGACTTTGGACTCTGCAAAGAAGGAATGGAGCAAGAGGAGACAACTTCTACCTTTTGTGGCACTCCTGAGGTACTGCTGGGGCTTTGCTGAGACCTGGGGGCTGGAAACCTTCAGCACTTGGTGCTCTGGGTCTTGGGCTTATGTGACACCTCAAAAAAATATGGGCTCTCTGAGGCTGTCAGCCTGAAGCTGGAGCTCAGATAAGGCCTTCCCTACCCAGCAGAGACAGCTACCTGTAACAACACAGAAATTTTGGAGTATGAATGAGCTATTGGGGCAGGAGTTTCTGCACTTGGAGGTGGCTAGGCTTGTGAAAATAGCTGGGGAATGGAGACAACCTTGTCCCTGGGAGCAGGATTGCTGGTTGTTTACCTTCTTTGAGACCTCAGTGGTGCAGAACAAGGAGCCTGCTGGTACTGGCACGCACAGGACCTTGCTGTGCTCTCCTCTGTGTCCTTGGTGCACACAGGAGCTGCAGAATTCACTGTGCAGAGCAGGGGAGCAGGCTCCCCCTGGAATGCAAACACTGCTCAGAGGGGAGGAAATGCCTTTCCTCCAGTGCACTCCAACTGAGTTTTGTGAAAACCTATTTCCAGTCTGGCTTCTTGGAGGCTTTTTTGCCTGCTTCTTACTGAGCCTGGGGATTTTGGTAGCACTTCAGCCTCGGTAATGTACCTGTCCTGCTGCTGTCCCCAGGCAGCTTGGCAAAGGGTCTGTAAACATGACACCTTTCAGCATTGAAGCTCAGCAGATGTGGGCAGGAATTTCCCTTCTTTTTCAGTGAGGTTTCACTTAAGCAACAGCACAGCATGAACCAAGCAGCAATGTTTGAGCTTTGTTTTCTAGTTCTGGTGTGTGTTGGTGTTTTCCTGTTCTAGACAGAGCCTGATACTACACAGAGATAATTCTGTGGTGAACTGTTCTGCAGACTGCTCAAATTCTTGCCTGTTGCTCCTCTATGGTGGCTCTTAGTAGTTTTGCTGCTTTGGACAGACTTATTTGGGCTGAAAACTGCAGCTTTTTCTAAATACCAGGAGTTTTTTTAGAGGTGTGTTGTCTCCTAGTGGGACAGGATTGCTGGCTGAATTGTGGCAGGTACCAAATGCTTGTAGAAGTCTTCTCAAGGAAGAGAACCTCCTGTAGCCTGCAAGGGTATCTTGAAGGCTTTGGTAGGTGTCTCTCAAGCCCATTGCTCCAAAGCAAGTGGAGAGTTTATTAGATAATACTAGGAACAGCATCTGTGCTATTCTTAATGCATTTGCTCAACTTGAGCTGCAGCCAGGTTTAGGACTAAGAAAGGCAAAGCCCTTCCTTTATAATTTGACTCCAATATTTCCTTCTGACTTCCCAGTATCTGGCTCCCGAGGTGCTAAAGAAGCAGCCCTATGACAGGACAGTAGACTGGTGGTGCCTAGGAGCTGTCCTCTATGAAATGCTCTTTGGACTGGTGAGTTTGGAAATGGGCTGGTTCACTTTGCATAGTAGAAATTTGATTTGCAAAAGCTGTGGTGTGAGGTTGGTCTGGTGCTCATTGAGGCACTTGATAGAAAACTAAATCCTGAATTAATGATCTGGTCCAATCCTACCACTGCCCTTTCAAGCAGAGGTGTGGCAGGTCTCCCCCATATTCTCACTGCAGGACTCATTTTGACCTGCAATGTGTGGCTCCTTCTGGTATCTCATGTTTTACCTGGCTGCTTCTCCTCTCTTTCAAATTAGCCTCCTTTTTACAGCCGGGATGTGTCTCAGATGTATGACAACATTCTGCACAAGCCACTACAGATCCAAGGAACCAAGACTGTGGCAGCTTGTGACATCCTTCAGGGACTTCTCCACAAGGACCAGAAGAGGAGGCTGGGTGCCAAAACAGACTTTGTAGGTGGCCTTCACTATGAGCAGGAGGGAGGGAGGATGGATGGGGAAATTTCTATTCTGAGCATTTCTTTCAGAACAGCACTGCCTTGGAAAAGCCCTCCCACACAGTCTGTCCCTTCAGCCTCCTACAAGGAACACATGGGGTTGACTTGGATTTCCAAAGGGAGAGGGGAGGTGGCCAGCTAAGGACACCAGTGTGTGATGGGTCATTTCCCTTGGGGGATTCCTGGATCAGGACCCTCATGTATTAAGGATTTGTGGATATGAGTATGTGGTAACTTCAAGTTAACTACTTAAAGCTGTGAGACCAGGTGCCGGAAAATGAAGATTGGCAGAAAATTGACTTTTCCTTCCTGCTTTCTGTACAGCTTGAAATTAAGAGCCACGTATTCTTCAGCCCAATAAACTGGGATGATTTATATCACAAGAGGATTACTCCTCCATTCAACCCCAATGTGGTAAGTGGGTAACTCTGTCTGTTTTACAGAAGGGATCCTCTCCAAATATCTCCCACTGATGCTGAGGGTTCTGAGGTGTGGGTTGGGACCTGGAGATGTAGTGGTGATGGCTCTTTTGAAAGAGCAGCTGTGTTGGGCTGTCTGAACACAAGGGTTTGGTTTGGGTGTGCTCCCTCAATGATTTGAGTCTCTGCTCCTTGGCTTAGGCTGGCCCAGCTGATCTGCGGCACTTTGATCCTGAGTTCACCCAGGAAGCCATCTCTGCCTCCATCACCCGCACGCCTGACCTGGCAGCCAGCAGCTCCAGTGCCTCAGATGCATTTTTAGGATTTTCATATGCACCAACTGAAGAGGACATTTAAGTTTTACAAAGGCTTTGTCAAGCCATATTTTAAATGAATGGGTTTTATGGTGTTTTTTTTTTTTTTTTTTTTTGGTTTTTTTTCCTTTTGAGAGGTTTGGTACTGTCCTTTGCTCATGGTTTAAGGAAGTTGGCACTAACACACTAACTGGCTGGGATGGAACAGAGCTCTTAATTTTTGCTGTTTGGTGGATTTTGTCCCTAAATGAATGTTTCCCTCTCAGAGAAAGTGCGACACTGACTATGATTTTCCCTGAGTGTCTTGTGCTACTTGGCAGAATTGTATTCACTCTGTGGTTATATTTATGGTTGAGGTATGTGCCATCATTCACATAACAGACACGTCCCTGTAACTGGACACATTTATTTTACTTTCTTTTGTGGAGCTATGCCCAGCTATGCCCAATGTCTTTCTCAAAGCCCTCAACAGAAAAGCAAACTCTTCACATCACCATGAACAGTGGCTTCCTTCCCTTACTCTGTCACTCCAGCTGGTCATCCTGGGCCAAGTGAAAAACTCTGTTCATCAGTTTTTGTTCCAAAGGGAGCTGCAGATTTTTAAGTCCTGAACTGCACTGTGGCCTTTCATGCCAGTCTGATCTCCTCAAATGAGTGGATTATCTTTCTGGCCCAGGATTGGGATGCTACTGAAGCAACAACGAGGCTGTGATGGAGGAGCCAATGTGTAGGAGGAAAATCCCAGATCAAGGGAGGGGTGGAGAAAGAGATGGAGTTGCTTGGAAAAATAAAAATAACTTTATAGCTGAACTCTGGTTGGGGGTGAGGGTGCTTTCACAGCCTGTGCTTGACCTGCCCCAAGCACACCAACACTACTGTGATGAGCACAGGGCAGTGAACAATGAGTGGTGGCCATGCTCCAGCACTCACCTGAAAATGTGGAACAGTTATTTATTCTGCCTTAATTTAAAAGCTGGTGTAGTCATTAAATGTCACTTCCCACATTTCTTTTTAAGCTGTTCTGTGCTGTTGCTGTGGGGAGGAGAGGGGGCTCAGAGCAACACGGGGATAAACAGGGGGCTTTCTAAAATCTGTGTGATGCTTGTGCTATGGGGAACTTTGTGTTGGTACAACTGTGTGTTTTGGTTTGTGGGTTGTTTTTTTTTTTTTTTTTTTTTTTTTATCAGGCTCTATCTTGTATATGCTGAAGTCATTGGAAATATGACATGGTTTATATTAAAGTTGCAAATACTCATGTGCTTCTCTGGGTGTCCTGGATAAGAGGGGAAGGAGGCTGTTTGCCTTGTGCTGGGCTGGAGAATATGGGGCTGTATGCAGAAAGTGACTAACACTGCTGCGTTTAAATTAAAGAGGAATTCCCTAATTTAAGCTGATCACAGAATCATGGAAGGGTTGAGGATCTTAAAGGCCAGGGGCAGGGATACCTTCGACTGCTCTAAACCTCATCCAGCCGGGCCTTGGACACTTCAGGACTCCAGGCGCAGCCACAGCTCCTCTGGCCACCCTGTGCCAGGGCATCTCCACCCTCACAGGGACGAACCTGCAGTTGTCAGGATTGGGATTTTTGACACAAGCAAAGTCAAAGGCCCAGAAACCCGAAGAGGAGCTCAGGACCGCGGGACTGCGCCGAGCCCTGACAGGCGCGGACTGGGGCTGAGGGAGGGCGGGAGCGCACCGCCCCGTCCCCGCCCCGTCACCCCCCCCGCCCTCCGCAGTGGTACCGCCCCGCCCCTTTCCCTGCCGGGGACTGGAGCGAACCATTGCGGCGACCTCTGCACTCGAGAGGGGGGGAAACGCTCCCCGCGCATGCGTCCGGCCGGAGCGTTGCTAGGGCGCGCGTGGTGACGGCGGCACGGCGGGGGCTCGTTGGGGACCCGCGGGCGGCCGGGGCGCTGGCGCTTGCCCGCTGCTCCCCGGAGCCCTCCGGCAGCCCCGGAGGAGCCTATGGAGAGCGGCCCGCGCAATGCCATAGTGTTCAACGCCTCCAAGGGCGAGAGCTTCACGCCGGCCGGCGGCTACAAGGCCCTGCGGAAGAGGCTGCGCGGCAGCTGGAAGGTGCTGAGGTGAGGGGCGGCTCTCGGGGCGCGGAGAGGCCCCGGCGGGCGTGTGTGGGCAGCCGAGTGGCCTTGGGGGGTTTGTGGGCACCCCAGTGGCCTTTGGGGGTGTGTGGGCACCCGAATGGCCTTTGGGGGTGTGTGTCGTGAGCTGAGGTCGCTCTCTCGCGTTGATGGCGCCCTGTTGCATCTTCTGCCCCTGTGGGATGCTGCGCGTGGTTCTTGGGAGCTGCAGCTCACCTGTAGGAGATGGAGTGTGAGTTGTAAGGATTAAGCTCTTCGTACAGGTTTGCGGGTCTGTAGATGGTACTGTTTATCTGATCACTGCAAAATACGGCATGAGCTGTTTAGGAGAGGATATCAGGGAAAGGTTCATCCCCAGAGGGTGCTGGCACTGCCCAGGCTCCCCAGGGAATGGGCACGGCCCCGAGGCTGCCAGGGATGCCCAGGGTGGGGCTGTCGGAGTGTCTGTGCAGGGACAGTCCCATGGGCTCAGTGGGTCCCTTCCACCTCATCTTATTCTTTGAAATGTGGCCAGGGCAAAAAGCAGAAAAAGAAAAATAACAGTAAACTCCTCAGGTGCAAAGTTTAATAGCAGCTGTGACAGCTTGCAGCAGTTCTGGATCTGCCACAGTGCCTTGTCAGAGGAGCATTGCTGTTTAACTGGTTGGCATTTGTAAGGGTTAGTTTTGCTCAAGTTGTCAACTTTAAACCCAGATAAAAGGATGTGAAGTGACTGAAGTGATTTGCTTTGTGTTCATTTGCAAGTCCTTTATAAAAAAAACAAGAGGAAAAGGTTGTGGTTCAGGACTGTATCCAAGAATAATGTGTGTCTTTATTAATCTATTCATAGCTTAAAAGATGAGATCACTTCTGAGAGACTGTTTGGGGTGAAATTGTGGATTACAGCAGGACCAAGAGAGAAGTTCAGTGCTGATGAGGTAAGAAGTCAATAATTGTTTTCAAGTTATTAATGTTTTAAAATTTGCTTAAGTAGAAAAGAACAAGACAGAAGCCTTTGCTGTAATGCTACTTTAAATGAGTTCATATACATTGGAATTTGAATGTTTTTCTTATAGGGCAAAGTTAAATGCAAGCAGCCAAAACAATTCCTCTCCCCTCATCTCAATATAACTTCGTGCAGTTTTGTGTGTAGCTTCTCATGTTTGTTTGTTTTCTGGATCTTTGTTGATTTCTAGTTTTCTGTTCTGAAGAAATTCCTGGAGGATGGTGGGGCCATCCTGGTGATGCTGAGAGAAGGTGGAGAGTCCCGGAATGGCACAAACATTAACTTCTTGTTAGAAGAATATGGGATCATTTTCAATAATGGTAATGGGGCTCACTGCTACTTTTAGTCATCAATTTGAAAATTGAAAAGAGCAGGTTCAGCCTTTGTGGATACAAGCCAAGCAGATCTTTCTCACAAAGGATCTTTTTATCTAAAAGATTTTTTTTCTTTAAATCTGCATGCACATGACAAGGTAATATGAAGCACAGCAAAGGCTTTCCATGGACAGAGTGCACGGGCAACTTGGCCATTTCCATTCCTTTGTGTAGTTGTTAGTTTTAATTTACTAAAAAAAATAATTTTAGGGAAATTTCTTGGTTAAAAAGCCATTAATTTAGAACATTTTCCACACGTTTTAAAGGATTGAATCATTTAATGCTCACGCTGAATAAGAAGTGGCACTTTTCTTTAGCAGACCAATAAAATATATCACTCATTAGTTTTGTGCTGCCAATGTGGTAAAAAACCCCAACAACCCAAGGCAAGTGTGTGTCAATGTACATAAAATATTTGGGGTCTTTGGTGGCTTTTCTACACTATGCCTTTTTTTGCATCAATAGGACTCAATTCATCAAGTGTTTGGAAGATGTATAAAAAAACAGAGTTGTAAAAGTTGATCCAGGCTGTTTTAACTGGGTCATCTTTTTGCCTCTTTTGCTTTGCAGAAGATGAAGTGCTTAACTTTCTGGGTTTTTTTTGAATTTGCAAACATATTTCTATCCTAAACCTATTCTGTCCAAAAGGAAACAGTAGTGAAGGCTGATTTCAGTATTGTGATGTTAAAAGCATGACAGATTTGTGGTGTAAAAGCAAACAGCCAGGGAATCCAAGAACTAAACTAATTTTTCTTTGCTAAATCTAACACACTGATCAGCCAAGATGTCAATTTCTATATTTTTTTCTTTTTTCAAGATGCTGTAGTACGAAATGTGTATTACAAGTACCACCACCCAAAAGAAGCACTAATCTCTGATGGAGTTTTGAACAGGTGAGTATTTGGGGTATGGAATCTTCACAGTAAACTCTTGTAAACTGGATTGTTTTCAGTAAGGTTTGTTTGTCAATATCTTGTAGGGGAATCAGTGAAGCTGCAAAGAAAACAGTGCTGGAGACAGCAGATGAAGATGGAAGGGGCCATGACTCACAGTAAGTGTTTTCTCTGAGGAAACTGCTGTGAAAATGTGTAGAACACCTCAGAATTGGCAGGTTTGGGATTAGCAGCAGTACTCTGTGCTTATGGTGAGGTTTTCTAATGCATTTCTTATGTTCTTGTGCCTCTTAGGTTATATATGGAAAGGAGAATCTGTTTAGTAGAGCTTGGTAACCTCTGAAGGAGCAGGAGGGATAGGTTTGGAAAGGAATTACTGTTCTCATGACCAGATCTTGTTTGCCTTTGGTCTATGGGTTTCAGTTTGAGTTTTGTGAATCTGCCCAGCCTGCCTGGTGCATGCAGGTGCTTATGGAATTCCTGTATTTCCTGCAGAGCTCTCACCTTTGTTTATCCTTTTGGAGCCACACTGAATGTGATGAAGCCAGCAGTGGCAATCCTGTCCACAGGGTCTGTCTGCTTCCCACTCAACAGGCCTGTCCTGGCTTTCTATCAGCATGAGGTATGAGCTGCCTGGGGCCCTCCCTGCATTCCCCCTGCCCCACACAAAAATTGTGAGTGGATCTTTTGGGGCTACTTACAAACCCACCTCAGTTTTTGATACATCTGCAAACTCCAGATGAGCCCAGTGACTCCTGATTTTTGCATGAGGCTCAGAGGAGAATTAATGAGGTGGTCAGCAAATATTCCATATTTTTGGTTGACTGGTGGGTGTCTTTAATTCTTTAAAGTTTTGAGGTTTTTCTGCTGTTTTACTAATGATTTATTAAATAAGATTATCCCTAACTCTCTAAGTACAGCATATTGAATTCCAAGGTTCTCACCTTGGAACCAGTAGATTTTTCATATATTATTTTACTCATCCAGCCCTGTTAATTTATAAAAAT